GAATTCCAGAGTTTATCAAGACATTTTGCAGGAAAACGTACGACCATCTGTCCGCCAACTGAAGCTCCGCAGAGGATGGGTGATGCAACAGGACAATGACCCAAAGCATACAAGTAATTCAACAAAACAATGGCTGGAACAGCACAGAATACGCCTTCTGGAGTGGCCCAGTCAGAGTCCTGACCTCAACCTGATTGAAATGCTGTGGCATGACCTTAAGAGAGCGATTCACACCAGACATCCCAAGAATATTGCTACACTGAAACAGTTTTGTGAAGAGGAGTGGTCCAAAATGACTCCAGATCGTTGTGCAGGTCTGATCTGCAACTACAGGAAATGTCTGGTTCAGGTTATTGCTGCCAAAGGAGGGTCAACCAGTTATTAAGTCCAAAGGTTCACATACTTTTTCCTCCCTGCACTGTGAATGTTTACATGTTATGTGCAATTAAACCATGGCAACATCTAATGTTTGTGTAGTATTTATGTTCAGCAGACTGTGTTCTTCTATTGTTGTGACTTAGATGACATTCAGAGCACATTTTATGCCCAATTCATGCAAAACTCCACGTAATCCCAAGGGGTTCACATACTTTTTCTTGCAACTGTATATATATATATATATATATATAAAGGATTTAATATAAATATATCGTTATTAATAAAGGTATTGTTTTGTGGATAAATCATCCTCTTTCACCGATATATAGTTTGGCCTTCCTCTGTGGAGATGTGACTTGATAAAGGAAACCACGCCTCTGAAACGCATCATCATAGCAACCCCTTCCAAGTCCTCCCACCCTCTCCTGTCACTGTATTGATGGAGGAATTCCCTGGTGCACAGCACCAGCTGGACTGGGCACATGCCCAGTAGACCAGGCACATCATGGCCACAGCAGTTCCACTGGCTGTATATTTCCAGAGCCCACGCTGACTCCCTAGGAGACCACCTGGAATCCCACCTTTTGAGATCTTGCAGCAGCCATCCAGGAGTGTATGTGGAGTCCTGTTACATGCTTTCACTTCATCCTCCTTTTGTGAGTGTAATTATTAAATAAAAAACATTATAAATACCTATTTCCTTGTTTTATAAGTGATCACATACCCTCTAAGCTCCTTATGCAGCTGAGAGAAGAGAGCCAGGGGAGGAAAAACAGCAGCAAGCTGAACTTCCAGTGAATGGCTGTGTGTGTGTGTGGGGAGGAGGGCATGTGAGTAAAAGTCTTATTATTGGAGGAGAGCACACTGATTTCCCAGCACAGCTAGAGAACTGACCATGGTGTGTTCTCATGCTTAGTGTGGTCAGCTTTTAATAGGAAAGCAGAGGGACTGGCAGGAACACCAGGGATTTCACACAAAGGAAACAATATAAAGAGAACAGGAACTTTTTCATACGAGTACATGACAGAGCAATCACAATTCCAGGAATATGAAATGTTGTGAAATGTATGAAACACTCTTTAAGAGAAATAAGCAAAAGAATAAAGCTGTATCTTTTCTCCTATTCCCTGAGAAAGGATAACTCCCACAGCAGAATCTGAAATATCCACTTCCCCCATAAAAGGCAGTTCAGGATCAGAATGTAATAGGATTGGTGCAGAAGTGAAATGGAGCCTTTAGTTTACTAAAAGCAGCCCATGCTTCAGGTGACCACAAAAAGGGCACCCCTTTCCTTGTCAGCTGTGTAATTGGTGGTATCACCTTAGAGAAGTTCCTGTTGAATCTTTCATCAAAGTTGACAAATACAACATATCATTGTATTCTAGGAGCCCACCAATCCACAACCGCTTTGATCTTATCAGAATCCATGCTCACTCCTTCTAGGGACATGTTGTATTCCAAGAACTGGATCTACATTTGTTCGAACTCACATTTTTCCAATTTAATATAAAGCTGACTCTTCCTTTGTCTTTTGAAAAAAGAGGAAACATACTTGCAATTCTCCTCTAGGTAGTCAGAAAAGATAAGAATATCATCCAGGTATTGTGACAGCAAGCCAGGAAAAACTATGGGTTGTATCCAGGATGGATGATATACTATATTTGTTCTAGGTTTAAGCAATACACAGATTTCTTTTCCTTTCTGTGCTGTGTGGTGAGCCTGTTTGGGTAACTGAGGGGTTAAGAAGCTCATCTGAAGCAGGTTGAGCACTCTGAGCTCTATATAACTCCCAGGCTGCTTAGGGAGGATGCTCCATCCTGGAATAGGATGTCTGTGCAGGACACACTGGGGAGCAGCCATTTACTTGTATGGTGAGATTAGGTCTGTGCTGGTGTCAAGAAAGCAGAAGCACAGCAGTGAAGGCACCCAGAATACACAAAGTCCAGTAGAGCCAGGTCACAAGCTTGCTAGCACCAAATCGTGGTCAAGTTCAGGGACAATCAGATGTTCAGCCAGTGTAGTAGAGAATCAATAGGCAAAATCTTGGCCAGAAGTTCAGGCTGAAGTCAGAGTCAGAGTCAGAGATGGGCAATAAACATAGGTAGGCAAGGAAAACAGGGTCTTGATAATGGGTCAAGCATAAGGTTCATGATCAGGAATAACAGGTACTCAGACTGGAAGACCATTCAGCAATGATCCAATGGACAGCTCAGGTTTAAACAGCCCACTGGGCACCAGTACCTGTGGTGGACATGCCTGTGCATTTATGTGCACACCATGGTATGCATGTGTGCGCATGCCTTACAGCTGGCACCACCTTTCTAATGGCTGGCATGATGTTTCTGACACAGTGTATATAGAGTTAGTAATCCATTTGTTTTATCTCCCTAGAACAGTAATAGAAGCTATATAAAACATTATAGTTAATGTAAAAAATTTGATTAGACTATTGTAAGGAACCGTAAGCAGTGATTGCTAATTCCCATGCAGCAAGTACTCATTTTCATACACTCGTGCAGGGATGTGAGCATAGAAACAAATCTTCCAAGGACAAGACTTGCGCCCACTGAATCTGGCACCCAGTGGCCTGTTTAAAAGAGGCCTGCTTGCTACTGACTCAGCTAAGTTTGATACCTCTCTTTGGATTCCCCTTGCATTCCACTGTTTGCTACTGATTTGTGTTGTCGACTCTGGCCCGGATGTTTGACTAAGATTCTGGCTTCTGATTTAGTACCTCATTACCAACATGTTGCTTTCCTTTGCCTGTCTCTGATCTAGATTCTGATTGGAATTCTGTACCTACCTGCTTGGCTGTTTGCGAACTTGGTTTGTGACCTGACTCAAGATCAAGTTCACTGAACCAACTTCCTGGCACGTGTGCCCCATCTTCTGCCCTAGCAGTCCCTGTCTCCAACACCAGGGGTGCTTGGATGGGCATTCTGCAAGATGCCACCTTTGTCATCTTGGACCCTACAGTCAAGTATATGACAGCTATGGATTTGACTGTCTTGGGGAAGGCATAGATGGCCTTGTTAACTGGTTATCATCACAGCCCTATCTGGGTCTCTAAGTTTGAGGTGATTGTGGCTAGTGCTCACATTTCCCTTATCTTTGAGGCCTCACTTTTTCTCTTTTCTCTCTTTAGAAATGCATCCATGACAATAAGGTTGGCAAAAAATTAAGCCAGAGAAAAAACAGACACAACAGAGAAAAAATCAAACCTTCAGTCAGTTCCATGGCAATCAGGATCTATCCATTTGGACCAAACCTGGGACAATAGCACGGTTGGCAAGTGGGTAAACGAAACAAGACAGAGATTTGTTCTATTTAAAAATGGAAATTGATGTAAATCGATGTAAATGAATACTCATCTGTTTACATCCATTAGCCCATAGAAATGCATTACTGTCTATGTTTCTTGCAAAAATGGATGGATGAGAAACAGACGGATGGAACATTCATGTGACAGGGGCCTTAATATCATTGTCATGGTGCCATGCAAAGGCACAAGGAAAGGAAAATGACAGGAAGGTGAATATATTTTTGTACTTCTGGGTTTTTTTACCTCACCTCAGGGAAAAATTAATCATAAAAATATTGCTGAACAGTCACTAGCTGCTAGATAAAGCTTGTGTTAAGATTAAAGGGAACATCTACTTAAGGAAAAGGAAGGCTTGCATTGCTTACCTCTCTTTCTGAAATGCTTGTTATAATGCTGATCTTACAAGTTTAATACTTTTTCAGGACAGATCTGGCACAAGTATATACATCATGAGTTCACATAATCTCCCGCAGACATGAATGGAGAAATAGAAGTTAATTCTATAATTTAGGCACTTTATGTGCTTTTTCTAAAACAGTTTTTTGCTTGAGGTCTATACCAGGTTATTGGACATATCCCACGTGCATATATACTGCAAAAGTATGCTTGCATTCCTATAACTAGCTTTTCATACAGAGTTGTCTACCTTTTCGGTTGTATACACTTGGAAACATAATATTAGCCATACATACAAACACAATTTACATTGATTTTTATTATTGTTAACCATCAAATGTGATACTTATTTATTTTTACAATTACGTTACAGTTTTGGTTGTACTGTAAGCTTACACATGAAAAACTATTTAGTATCACATTTTGTATCCATCTTGGCTTTAGTTTAGATTTAGATTTAGTTTTGCAACATTTATCTTTATGCTACTATTTTTATATATTTATATATACCGTATTTTCCGGCGTATAAGACGACTTTTTTTACTTAAAAACATACCCCAACAATTGGGGGTCGTCTTATACGCCGGGTATAGAACGCTGGATGTGCGGTAATACTGTATGGTAGCTTCAGCTACATACAGTGTACCGCGCTGAGCCAATCACGGCGAGCGATGTATTCTATTAATGAATACAGAGCCTGCTTGGATTGGCTGAAGTTGTGACATCATCAGCCCGCCTCTCTGACACAGCCAATCCGAGCAGGCTCTGTATTCATTAATAGAATTCATCACTTGCCGTGACTGGCTCATATGACGTCCTCCCATTCTCCGCGCATGCGCGGTGATGCGCTGTGTCCCTCGGACACAGCTATCACCGATCACGGAAAGAGCCGAAGATGTTGGCTCGGTCATGTGATCAGCTGTGTCCAATCACAGCTGATCACATGTAAACAGGGAAATGCCGGTTATCAGCATTTCTCTCCTCTCGAGCTGTCATGCTGACAGCTCGAGAGGAGAGGAGAGCTGGTAATCGGCTTTCCGCGGAGGGGACATGTACACTGATCATCAGGGCAGTGATGATCAGTGTAGCCCCAGCAGTGCCAGCTGTCAGTGTCCATCAGTGCCACATCAATGCCACATATCAGTGCCTACCAGTGCACATCAATGCCACATATCAGTGGCCATCTGAGCTGCCTTTCAGTGTCACCCATCAGTGCTAGTCAGTGCCACCTATCAGTGCTGCCAATCAGTGCCACCTATCAGTGCCATGTATCAGTGCTGCCTTTCAGTGCCCATCAGTGCTGCCTGTCAATGCCCATCAGTGCTGCCAATCAGTGCCACCTATCAGTGCCAGTCAGTGCCGCCTATCAGTGTGCATCAGTGCCACCTATCAGTGCCAGTCAGTGCCGCCTAACAGTGCCAGTCAGTGCCACCTAACAGTGCCAGTCAGTGCCGCCTAACAGTGCCAGTCAGTGCCGCCTATCAGTGCCATGTATCAGTGCTGTCTTTCAGTGCCCATCAGTGATACCTGTCAATGCCCATCAGTGCCACCTACCAGTGCCTCCTCATCAGTGCCCATCAGTGCCACCTATTTCATATGGGTACAGTGTTGCATGACCGCGCAATTGTCATTCAAAGTGTAACAGTGCTGAAAGCTGAAAATTGGCCTGGGGGGGAAGTGGGTATAAGTGCCCTGTAGGCTAGGGGTTAAATGGTGTTGCCTCAGAAGGGGAGTAGTCTTATACGATGAGTATAGCCCAAAACCTATGTTTTAACTGGAAAATTAGGGGGTCGTCTTATACACCCAGTCACCTTATACGCCGGAAAATACGGTATATATTTTTATAATTTCCTAATGTTCTAAACATTTTCAGTTTTTGGTACTTCTATTAGTGTACGTATACTCCTAGCAGTCAAATACACTTTTTAAAAGCCCTATATGGTTCTTTGTCATGCTGAGCAATGTAGTCCCCTCCCTCTGCAATTGAACTATTTTTCTTGATGTTCCTCTTTGCATTTGTATTATTAGTACTAAGACTCTCATGTCCCCCACAGGTATGCACATATTTTGTATTCCCAGTCTTACAGTTGCTGTACTGTATAAGTAATTTTGCCCACTAGCTAAAGTGAAAATAAAACTGCAAGTAAATAGTGACCTGTGACAACTGTGTTATGTGTGCATGTGCTATGCTAAAAGGTGATCAAAACTGCTGTTGTATTCAGAACAAAGCATTCATGTATAAGGTGCAATATAAAGTTATTTAACACTCCAATATTATTTGTTTACAAACTGTTTATTTGAAAAGTTTGTATAAGTAAAGTATACGTTACAACAGATGTATAAGTATATGTAATGTAATGTCAAAAAGCATAACAAAATATCTTAGTACAAAAAAGATATAATGTACATTTTGTATAACAAAAACCCTGAAATCAATTTAAGTCACTAATACTGTGTATAATGTAATACTGTTCTCATGAATCACTGATATACTGTTGACTTATCAAAAAATAAAAGATACATAAAAAAAACAAAAAAGAGAGAAAATAGAGAATCAAACAAATTGAGGTCTTAATCACCAGTGTTTTTCTGATAGAGAGCCATGGGTCTCATTTTGCATTAAAGATATGCATGGTTTCAGAGGTCATATGGGAAATTCTCTCAGCATAACACAGTAAACTCTACCCACGAGTAGAGAAGGGAACCAAAGGGCTTTTCCAATTGAAGGCTATGGACCACTGTGTGGCAACACAGATAGTATAGATCAGTTGTATTACAATATGGGGCAAGCCAGGAATTGGTGCAAATAATAAACATATCGATGGAGAGAGATTGACGGGGTCAGACACCAGATGAGAGACTAAAGAAGATATCCTAAGCCATATCGGTTTCAAAACTTCACAATCCCAAAACATATGTAAGAAAGAGCCCACCGCTGAGCAGTCCTCTAAAACAACTCTCAGAGGAATCCACATACATATTATGAATTCTAGAAGGGGTTTAATACCAATGAGTTATTACTTTCATAGGTGTTTCTCTTATGGAAATAGAACAGGTGCATTTATGGAGATTCAGTAAAACATTAGACCATTCCACTAGAGTATTGGGCACCACACTCCTGTTCCCACTGTAACATGTAAGAAAGTTTATCCGGAATAGGTGATGTTTGTGTTTGTATAACTTTGTAGATAGACGATATACTACCCTTACCTCTAGGAGAAGATTTACATATCCTCTCAAAAATAGTCATATCCTTTGAGGTAGATAAGGAATAATTTGTGGCAAAAAATTGTTTAATTTGATGATATCTATGTATTTCTCTATGGGGGATATTTTTAAGAGAATAAAGATCTGAAAATGAAATAAAACCTGAACTAGTTTGTAATGAGTATAATGTAGTAAATTTATTGATTTTCCACCACATAACATTTTTTGGAGATAATAATGCGGAACCCAATTTAAAATCTCCCAAAAAGGAAATGAAAGGAGAAAACAGAGATGAAGTTAAATTTGTTTTTATGTGAGTTCCATAGATGTACAGATTGTGCTACGAGAGTGTTACAAGGGGCAATCATTATATGAGAAATACTAGATGCCCAAAGCAAATCAGGCAGGTAGTATGGATAAACTGACCCTGACTCAAATCTAATCCAGGGGACATTAGAATGGTAAATATTCCATTGTGCCAATTGAGCAAATCTGGCGGCAAGATAATACAAGATAATAAATGTGGAACTTCTAATCCGCCAGAGGATTGTGAGTTATAAAGTATTGTTTTAGAGAATCTTGGATGTTTGTCAAGCCATATAAATCTATTTATCTCCCTTTGAATGCTATCTAAAAATGCTTTAGAGATTTTTATTTGGAGGGCTCTAAATAGGTCCAATAGTTTAGGAAGTATATTCAAGTTAATGGCTGTCACTCTGCCCAAAAAAGATATAGGGAATGATTTCTAGAGTTCAAGAAATTGTAATTGAAAAGGTCACTGAAAGAGTGTGTCAAATCAATTCCAAAATAGGGAATTGAATCTTTAGACCATTGAAATGGGAACGAGATTTTAAGTCTTTTTCTCACGAGAGGAGATATATTAATTGGTAATGCATTAGATTTAGTGAGATTGACCTGTAGACCTGAAAGGGAGGAGAAGTTATCAAGGGTAGAAAGAAGGTTCGGTAAAGAGAGTAATGGTTTAGTGATAAAAAGTAGGGCATCATCTGCATATAAGCAAAGATTAAATTCTTGAAAACCGTTAGAATATCTTGTAATATCAGGCTTGTTTGTTTATCGCTTTAGCAAGGGGCTCCATCTCCAAGGTGAAAATAAGGGGGGAAAGAGGACACCCCTGAGGAGTGCTTCTACCCTCAGAGAAAAACTCTGAGTTAAAGCCTGGAATTTTGATCCTTGTTTTGGGGGAATAGTATAACACTTGAAAACCTTGACTGAATTCCCAAACCAAATCAAATCAATGAAGTAGAGTATTAAGATAGGGCCATGTCACACTATCAAAAGCTATGTGTATGTCTAAACTTAACATAACCACCTCTTTAGAGTACAGATTGACATCTTGTATGACATTGGTAGCCAGCCTAATATTGTCCGTAGCCTGTTCGGAATAAATTCTGATTGATCTGGTGAGATAATAGATGGAATAATAGAGGCCAATCGGTCAGCTAGAATTCTGGTAAATATTTTTAGATCATTATTAATTACCGAGATTGGCCTGTAAGTTTGAGGATGGTCTTTTTTAGGCTTAGGTAACAATTACATATTTGCCAATAACATTTTGTCAGGGAAATGATGAATCTGAAGAATGAAATTGAAAAGAGATGACAATTTAGGGGCCAAAATTGTGACAAAATTCTTATAATAAGCCGAGGTATATCCATCTGGGCCTGGCGCTGTAGAATGTTTTAAAGATTTAATAACATTGGGAACTTCTGCTTCTGTGCAAGGTGAATTTAATATATCTTTTTGGGCCTTTATAACTGAAGGGAGGGGGATTTTATTAAAGCATTCCAGTATGGAATCAGATGTTGTATCCAAAGGAGGGGCAAGTAGATTCTTATAGAATTTCTCAAAAATGTTTGAGACTTCTTTAGGTAATGAGATTTTACCAGATGTGGATTTAAGTTTGTATACATGAGGGGGACTTACTGTTTGTTTTAATTTTTGTGCAAACATAGTTGAAGCTGAACTGCTATAAAGTAAAAATGTGGCTTTTGCCCATTTGACATTTTTTTCTGTCTTAAAAGCAGATAAAAGCATGTCCAATTCTAATCTCTTATCTGATATGGTTTGAAAGATATCAGTAGAAGGAGTTTGAGCTTGCATGTTATATAACAGTTTTAGTTTCTTAGTAAGAGAATTAATTTTTAACCAATTTTCTTTATTTTTTGCTGTAGCAATACTAATAAAGCGGCCTCATAACAGCCTTATGAGCAGCCCATACAATAGGGATGAATGTCTCGGGTATAGAATTCAAAGTGAAATATTCCTCTAGAGCTGAAGTAATTTCGAATTTTTGAACACTCCAATATTAAATGCAATCACATAAGTACAATGTGAAGCAATAAAAATATTCACATTAAAATATTACTGCAAACAATATGACACGAAAAAACAATCAATGCTCCAATAATTAAATACAACAATATAAGTGCAATAGTGAGAGAATAAGCCCAGGCAAGTCCGTAAGTCAGTCAAAAAAATAAATGTAGCAACTAGTAAAGAAAGTGTACAATTGCAGAAAGCCTCCACCTTTTTCTCTTTTGGGCACAGGCAGTTACTGGTAGGTGAAGTCAGTGTAGGTAAACCATCAGCAATGTAGCTAACCATTTAACATCCACCCTATAGCAGTTTTACTGCCACAGGGCGACATTCCTGTGCAAAAGCACGCATATACACGTTATTTTGTACTTCTGCCACACGGGGGCGTGCACACGCCACCAGAGGATCACTTCTGCTGTGAAATGTTTTAGCACAAACTGATCTACAAGCCCCGGTGAGCAGTTGCTCACCAGCATCTGCAGATCGTCCGCCAAGGAGGAAGAAAAGAGCTGTATCTACTGTATGTTTACATATATACAGTTGTGTTGTGACAGGGGGGAGTCATGAATGCAGAGCTGAGAACACAATTCATCACTTCCCATAGTAAAAGCACTACCTAGTGTACACCAAGCACATAGCTAGGCACACATGTAACCCTTTGATCACCCTAGATGTTAACCCCTTCCCAAAAATTGTCATTAGTACAGTGATTAGTGTATATTTTTAGCACTGATCACTGTATTAGTGTCACTGGTTCCCACAAAGTGTCAGTTAG